TATCCTTTGCCACTTGTCGTCATCCTTCATCCGCCACGCGAGAAAATGCCGTGCGTCGAAATGCACGTTCATCTTATCCTGCTTGCCTCTTGTTACGAGCCACCTTCTGTATCGCTCCAAGTCGATCTCCTCCTGCGACCAGGGATCATCCCTGTCGAATTCTCATTCGATCCTACTAAACATCCGCTGTTTAGCAGTCTTGCGCTGAAATAAAAATAATAAGTTAAAACGTCTATCGCTAATATGTATGTATTGATGTTAAAATAAAGTAACACGATTTGAAATATAACAACATATTTTGCACGAATTAAGCTAAGGGAAGAACGTTCTTACCAGATCTGGCGACAAATTCCGGCCGGCTTTTGCCTCCTCGACAGGCCTTGCACCCTTCACCTCTGGCAGCTGGCCTTCCTCCTCTACTACCATGGTGACAGCCTCCTCCTGCTCCTTTTCCGCCTTCCTCTTGTCAGCCATATTCTTTACGAAATCTCTGAAAATAATGAAACAATTAGCGTCAATCGCTTGAAATGCATTCAATTACATCAGGCTGTAGTGAAAATATTAACATGAATCAATCTTTTCGAATCTCTCGTGCGTGTTTCTCGAGCGCGTACATGACATTCGCAATACAATCAATGCTAAGCATTGTAATATTGCGAATATCATATGAACGCGCAAGAGAAACACGCACAAGAGATTCGATACGATTGATTCAATGTGACTCTTTTCAGGTGCACGAAATTGGTTATGTATATTCGCGACAACGATTCGCATGCAGTTAGGCAACTTTCCGCATGCAATTACAAGCTGATACAAATATAATTCCGTAATACAGAAAATACAGAAAAGGAATTTTCTTACCAAATCTTGCGCGATATCCTTTGACTCGGGCAAGCGGCGAGCAGCGGGCAGACGCAGGGGATACAAACTCCTTACATTTTAGTGGGGACGGAAGTTCCCGTAGTTCTAGTATCGGGGGCACAGTCCCAGGCGGCAGCACCATTTTTCCCCCACCATTGACTGATGGTCTGATGCCTACGAAACGAGTGTCGACGAGCAGTGACGAATGAGTGACGAACTGACGAGCAGGCAACGAAGGAATTTCAACAGTTTCAACGGACTTCAACGGACTTGTTGCATCATTTATTTATCGTTATTTATTGGAAGACTGTGGTGAACTGTGGAAGAC